TCCATTGTTCGTAAACGTGAAGCAGGACCCTGTCAGTTTTAAAATTGTAACTGGGTTTATAACGTCTCATGAGTGAGTTTCACCATGTGTCTTTTTCCACCTGTGCCTCTTGGGTGTGCTTAGAAATCCACTCCTCCCCTGAGGTTATGAGTCAGGGATTGATTATTCAGGGTGACACGGGTGCTCTGTTTTTGTTTCTACCCACGAGTTGTTTGTCCTGTGGACCACTCTGCTGGGCTAGCTGATGAGCAAGGCCCGGCCTGGCCTTGTCACCCCAGAGCTGTCTTGACCAGGCCTTGGTCTGAGGTGGGGTGGACCACCTCGCTCCGCAGGGTGGTCCCGGCTGCATGCCCTCAGCTTTTCTGTGTGCAGAGGGTGGCAGCTCCAAGGTCTGCTTTTGGCTGGGTCCCTGTGACGGTGCCCACAGGGACACAGCCTGGTTACCTCACCCTTCTCATAGTGCCTCCTTATACATCATAGTAAAAGTCTGGTTTTTTCCTTGAAAAATTTATTAGATTTATTTCCAGGGATGTGATTTGTTACTATGGTAATTTAAAAAATAAGCGTTCTGTGTGTGTACACACAGGCCTTTATTTTTAGATTGATAGGATGCGTTGTGGACCCTCTTGGGTTATCTTTGTGTATAAGTGTGTGAAAACTGACCATTTGAGTGGGTTTTTCCTATATTCAGTTTTTCTTTATCCAAACTCAGACTAGGTGTACCAGTCGAGCTGGTTGGAGGGCCTGTTTCTGGTTTCGTGGTGAAGGCTGCATGTGTAGACTCGTACAGTGCTCTCGTAATTGGGAGGCTTCCTTAAAAGTAGTTCTTTTTTCCTTTTTTTTTTTCCAGTACTGGTTTTGAGCTAGGGGCCTACACCTTGAGCCACTCCACCAGCCCTTTTTTGTGAAGGTTTTTTTCAGGATAGGGTCCTGAGGACTGTTTGCTGGTGTTGGCTTTGAACTGTGACCCTTTTGATCTCTGCCTCCTGAGTAGCTAGGATTACAGGTGTGAGCTACTAGTGCCTGGCTTGCTCCCTTGGATTTCTGCTTAGCAATGACAAGTAGTTTTTGTTGTTTTTTGAGAGAGGGTCTTACTATGTAGCCAAGGCTGGCCTTGAACTCTCAGTCCTCCCAAGTGTTGGGATTAGGAGTGTGTGCCACCACAGCAGGCCCAAGAACTAGCTTTTAATAATAAAATTTAAGTTTTTTGTATTTTTTTTATGGTGCTGCAATGGAACCCAGGTCTTTGTGTATGCTAGACAAGTGCTCCACCAATGAGCTACATCCACAGCCCATTCTTTGGAATGTTTTTTGAGAGAATTTTGAATTGTTAGTACTGTAGATTTTTAATATATTTTAAGAACTGATAATACTTGATAGATGCCAAATAACATGAGGACCGTTTGTGTAAATTAACGACCCTGGATTGAGTCTGTGCCACTACTGGGCTTCTTCCTCACTCCCCAGTGCAAGCATGTCCTTGGGTCTTTTCTGAACAGCTTTACTGGGACACAGCTCACACCATAACATTTTCACCCACTTGAAATGTCCAGTCCAGTGGATTTTAGTGTGGTTACAGTGTGGAGTACTTATCACCACATCCAAGTTTAGAACATTTCAACACTCCAAAAGAAGTCCCCTGCACCTCCCGTCCTCCCCCACCTCTGGTCTTCTGCTCTGGGCAATCTCATGGAGCTGGAGTCCTGCACTGTTTTTGTCCTTCTGTGTCTGGCTTACACTTTGCATAATTTTTTTCAATGTAGATATGTGTTGCAGCACAAATTAGTGCTCCATTCCTTTTTATGACTGAATAATATTCCATTGTTTTGGGTGGGTCACATTAATAAAATTCTGCTCATCTGTTGGACATTTGGTTGTTTCTGCCGTTTGACTTTTAGGAATAGTGCTGCTTACTGAACATTTGTGTACAAGTTTTTTTGTGGACATATGTTCTGATTTGTCTCGAGTATTTTCCTAGGAGTGGAATTGCTGGTCACGTGATAACACTGTGTTTTAATACTTTGAGGATCTGCCAGATTGTTTTCCAAAGAGCAGCTGCACCATTTTAGGTCCTCACGCTGTTGTCTTTCTGATTATAGCCGTCTGTGGTGCCCAGTGATGGCTCACTATGGTCGGATTGGCAGTTCCCTGATGGTTGAAGAGTGTTGCGCTTTCTCTGCTGTTGGCCATTTGTGAGTTTTCTTTGGAGAACTGCTTATTCACTTCCTTTGCCTTTTTTTTTGTTTGTTTGTTTTATCTGACATTTCATTGTTGAGTACAGAGCTCTTTATTCTGGATGCTGGACTATCAGACACATGGTTTGCAAGTGTTTCCTCCCGTTCTGTAACTGGCCTTTGCATTTTATTCAAGCACAAAAAACTGAATTTTCATGGTGCCTACTTGATCCTCTCTCTGTGGCTGCTTGTGCTTTTGCTGCCACATCTAAGAGGGTCTTTCCAAACCCAGGGTCATAGCAGGAGTTTCTCATCTGCTTGTTTAGCTTTGGTGTAGTGTGTTACAGCTCTGCAGGGCTCAACAGCTCTGGGATTCTCCTGGGTCTGTGGAGGCTGTGAGCTGCTCACCCTATACCAGTTGGGATTATAGCTTATTTTGAGATAGGAACTGGCTGACTTTTGCCTGGGGTCTCCAACCACTATCCTGAGTAGCTGGGATTACAGAGGTGTACCACCATGCCTGGCACTTGAGAAAATTCTGAGTGTATTCTGCAAACATTTTCTATATATATATATATATAATTTTTTTTTCTTTTTTTGGCAGCACTGGAGTTTGCCCTGTGTCCCTCCTCTCTCCCTGTAAGGCTCCCTCTTGGTCTCTGCCCTCCAAATTTAACGTTGTGGTGCTCCCACACTCTTGTCTGCTGCGGGTCCCCAGGCTGGGCTGTGTTGTTGTGTGCCTGTGTGTGCTTCAGCTTGCTCTGCTGCCCCACGCTTCCTGTGAGCTGGAGTGGGCTGGGGAGTGGTGGGCATGGTCTCTTGAGGATCTGCTTCCAGGCCCTGCTGGGTGGGGGCCTTCTCTCTGGCTCCCTCTTTGATGTATAACCAGTGCTAGATGAGCAGTATTTGGATGCATGCATTTGGGACACATCTCAAATGTGTTTTTATCAACGTCTGTTGTTCACAGCCTATGGGCTGTTCACCATTCCAGGAATCCTAATGCTGGAGATGGGGTCACTTGTTTTGTCAGGTCACATCTTGTTTCATAAAGCAGATCACTAACCAGCATCTCTGTGGATCTTCAAACGCTTGAAATATGCTTATATCTGTACTGCTTTCTCTGACTTACTTGGGCGTTATCAGGGATTGAACTTGGCCTTGCGCTTGATAGGCAAGCTGTATGGGCTCATCTGATCTTTAAAATAACCCTGAAGACATCTGTATTGATGTTAAAATTCTCCAAGTTGTATGTGTTAGAATTTATACCATTTACTGCCCACAGATTAGGCTGCTTTTTTTTTTTTTGAACTCAGGACCTTCACCTTGAGCCACACTGCACTAGTCCTATTTTTTGAAGGGTTTCTTGAGATAGGGTTTTGCAAACTATTTGCCCAGACTGGCTTCAAACTGTGATCTCTTGATCTCTGCCTCCTGAGTAGCTGGGATTACAGGCGTGAGCCACTGGTGCCCAGCTTAGGCTCCTTTTAAGAATGGTCAGAAAGCAGCCCGCGATGTGACCATGGGTAGCCCTGCCCCACTGTGGCTGCATAACTTGTCATAGGGCCGTGGCTCTGGCCAAGGTGCTCTCTACTTGTGCCCGCCTCCTGTTGCAGCCCATCTTCCCACTTCTTCTAGTGTCCTTTGGTTGGCTGCTGTTCATGTGTTTTGTGGGCTGGGTATCTGTGACACCTTTAGTGTGCACCAACAGTCGTGGTGACCCAGGAAGGGCCATACTGGATTGAGTTTGAACTCAGGGTCTTGTACTTGAGCCACACACCCCAGACTTTTTCCTTTATTATTTTTCAATAGGGTCTGGCATTTTTGCCTGGGGCGAGCCTCTAACCATATTCTTCCTATCTATGCCTCACCTGAGCTGGGGTTGCAGATTTCTGCCACTACTGCCTGCCTTATTTGTTGAGATGTGGTCTTGCTAATTTTTGCCCAGACTGGCCTGGAATCTCCATCCTCCAGATCTCTGCCTCTCGAGTGTCAGGGATTACAGGCGTGAGCCACCTCTGCTGGCCATTCTTTTTTTTTTGTGGTACTAGGATTTGAACTCAGCCCTACTTGCCTGGCTATTCTTTAAAAGCTTCCCTGTTGGTGTTTCTATTGTTTAGCATTTTGTAGTCCCTCTGAGGACTGGCGAGGCCTGTTGTCATTTAGCCCTGGCCTTACAGCTGCTCTGCCTCAAGTTGTTACTGTCTCTCTTTGAGGAGCTGAGCAGGACCAGGCCATAATCTCCATCTGTGAAAGTAAGCCTGAGTTGTGACCTAAACCCCAGTATCTCAGCTGACACTGACCAGCACGAGCTTGTGTGTAGATTGAAGAGCACGTGAAGAATTAAAAATGTTTAAAGTAGCTGGGTGCCAGTGGCTCAGGCCTATAATCCTAACTTCTTGGGAGGCTGAGATTGGGAGGATCTCAGCTCAAGGCCAGGCTGGGTTCGAGACACCCCCATCTCCAAAATAACCAGAGCAAAATAGACTGGAGGTATGGCTCAAGTGGTAGAGCACCTGCTGCTTTGGAAGTTTGAGGTCCTAAGTTCAAACTCAAGTCCCACCAAAACCAAACCAAACCAAACCAAAAAAACAAAGCTTAAAGCTTTGCTCAGCTTTGTTTCTTTTTAGATGTTTAATCTGATCAATATTTTGTGGATGAAATCTTCATATAGTTGAAATTCGAAGCACCAGGGATAGTAGAGATTGTGTCTTGGCCCAGAGAGAAAACAAGTGTAAACTCATCTCGTTTTATTGAAAGTACATTGTTGTTTGCAAGCACTTTAATGTACTGCTTCAAAGTTAAACTCTGAGTTTTTCCGTGTTTTAGATTAAATAGGATTGCGAATCAGGTGGCCATTCAGCGGAAGAAGCAGTTTGTGGAGCGAGCTCACAGCTACTGGTTACTCAAAAGGCTGTCTAGGAATGGCGCCCCCCTGCTGCGGCGGCTCCAGTCCAGCCTGCAGTCCCAGAGAAACACACAGCAGGTACGTGCACACAACCCGCCCATCTAACCTCCTAACACTGCCCAGACACAGTCCCTGAGGAGAGGGCGCCTGGGCCAGGCTGGACATGGCGCTGACCTCCAGGCCCTGGCCACTGAGCTGTGGTTGTGCAGGTGACTTAACGTCCTCATGGCCTGGAGTGTCTTCAGGGCTGAGTTGGTCTTTCTTCCTTTAGTCTTCATTCACTGGTGGAGCATCTGCTGCACTCCATACTCTTTCAGTCCTGGAGACTACGGATGCCCAGGGAAGCCACAGGAACGTTTGGGGCAGAGAAGGCCGGAAGGGAGGCCCAGTGAGAGCCTAAGTCTGGTGGGGTGGGGCTGCGTGTAGCCTTGGAAGTACTGCACAGAGAGGGAGGGACTTACTTGGCCTTGCTCTGAAGGTGGACTTAGCATTGACTACAACCAGGAGGGAAGAAGGTGAGAGGGGCAAAGGGAGTATAAGTTTCATGTTTTTAAAAAGTGAAGCTAAGTAAACCAAGTGTTTTAGCTCTTAATATGGGCTTATGGAGTCATCTAACATTGTAAAACAGTTAAGAGAGGCTGGATTTAGAAAGTAAAGAAGTGCCTTCTTAATTAATTTAAAAATAAATTAGAAACAAGAACATCTCTTCTGCATGTTGTTCCAAAAAATATGTATCTAGCAGCCTACACTCGCTTTACTTGGTAAGGAAAGACTGGCTCATGGGAGGAACAGTATCCTTGGTTGGCCCCCACCCTGGGCTGAGAGCCTGAAGGCCTCAGCAGAGCCCATGGGATTCTGTGTTGCTCTCTTTACTGTAGTCCTGAGCATGGAGTAGATCTTTTAGATCTGTGAGACACTGACTGATTGTAATAGAAATGTGATCCTGTAGAGTACCTGTGGCCCTGTCCCTGTACTGGCCAGTGAGCAGTGGTGCTCTGGCTCTGCTGTGTAGAGTAGATGCCCGCACCTGCCGACAGTCACGTGGTCTTGCCAGTGTGCGGGTCTGATCTGGGTGGTAGAGTTCTCAGGTCCCCATGGAGGCTGTAGGTAGTAACTGCTTGTCACCACAGATGCCTGTCTATCCGGGGAGTGTCTGGGGCCTCCCATGTGTCATCTATCATGTCACTCCCCTCTGCTGCATTCTGGGGCTGACTGGGGTGTTCTGTAGGGGATTCATGCTGCTTCAGTTTGGGAGCCCACCTCACTGAGCACAAATCCATATATCACCAGGTTCTGAAGTGCCTACTTGGCCAGAATAGAGGTGTACATGACTGTTCTTTGGTTGCTGAGTGAATCAACAACGTTTTCCACCTGATCATGTAGTGAGATGATAATCTCCACTTTTGTAGCATCCTTTCCTTTTACAGCACAGCCCTATGGGGTGTCCAGCATGGCTGCATGGCCTGGGCACCAGAGGAGAGGGCCCTGGATGCAAGAGGGGTCTTACGACATTGAGCCAGGAAGTGGTGAAGCACACAGCAGGGTTGGGCGCTGGCAAGATCGAGGCTTTGGCCTTTGCTTCTGTAATGGTGGAGGCATGGGAAAGAAGATGGTGGTGGGAGGAAGTGGAGAATCCAGGCCTCTGATCTCATTTTGAGCAGGAAGGGGACTCTCCATAAAAGCCAGGGCATAAACCACATATTCGTGGGTTCTTTATAAACAGCATAGGAGGATATCCAGCTATGGGACTCATCTTTCTTCACATACCCAGGAGCTCAGAATGAAGGGCCCAGGGCTGTGTGGTCTGTGGGTGCTTGGACTCCCATCAAAACGGTACTGAAAGGAGAAGGGGGCTGCTGAAAGGGAGAGAAAAGAAAGAGGGTGGGAGATGAGACAGGATGGTGAACCCCTCCCATTTGAGGGTCACATGCTGCCCTCTGGAAGAGCCACCCCGGACCATGGTCTAGACTCATCCTGTCACAAGCAGATCTCTGAGGAGGAGCATTTGCTCCCACGACAGCCTCGCCTCGAAGCAGAGGCATCTGGGGCCATCAGGAGGGAGGGAGCACAAGAGCTGTGGATTTGAGCTCTCAGGCTTGCAACAGCATTGTGCCCAGGTGGGCCAGGGGTTCTGAAAGGAGAAACTTTGAATTACTAGAAGGGCTGAGCTTTCTACCCAGCGGGGTGCTGCTGTGCTGTGTCAGAAGGCAGCATGGGTGGTGAAAGTGGTCCTAGCCAGGGCTGGTTTTTCTAGGAGTGTCCAAAATAGCTCAGGAAGCATTTAAGGCTGATGTTCATTTTTGGTGCTAGGGATTGAATCCAGGACCTCATGCATGCAAAGATGCAAAGCATGTGCTCTAACCTCAGCTCCTAGTGTGTGTGTGTGTTTGGGTGTTTTTTGGTGGCACTGGGGTTTGAACTCAGGGCCTCATGCTTGCTAGGCAGGCGCTCTACCACTTGAGTCACTCTGCCAGCCTTTTTTTTTTGTGTGTGTGGGGTGTTTTTGAGAGATAGGATCTTGTGAACTATTTGCCTGGGCTGGGCTGGCCTCCTAACTGCGATCCTCTTGAGTAGCTAGGATTACAGGCGTGAGCCACCAGCACCTGGCCCTTAATGGTTTTGGAACTAGGGATAATTGATGTTGGAATTTGATCCACCTGTGGTTTTTGGTGATCTCTGTTGGGGGGCCTTGCCCCCTGTGGCTGAATTCTGAGGGGGATGGCAGATGAAACAGATGAGCTTCTCTAAGAGGTGAGGTCCCTAAGGTTTCTGGTGCTGCAGCTGGGTCTGGGAGGCTTTCCTTTGGCTGTGTGCTGGATACCTGTAGCTCCTGGTCAAGAAGGTACTGCCCTCCGCCATCTGAGGTGGTGCATTGGTGGGCGGAAGGAGGGGGGTGGCTGTTTAGATTTGGTGGAGTAGTTTGTCAGGCTGGCCTCTGCTCATCCTGCTTCCTGGTCCTTCCTGCCCCTATATGGCCTGTCCTCCAACTCCCTGGAACTCCCCTGTCCTCTCCCTCCCGCTTCTCCCAATTGGGTAGCTTTTCAGGAGGCTTGGGGCTGGCAAGCTGAGACTGGCTGCCCTTAGGGTTTTAGGCCTATGATGGTGTCCTGTGGGAGCCCTTGTTTTAGGAGCTTGCAGCTGCATGACCTGTCCCCAGCCCAGGGAATTTTGATTTGCCTGTGGGGCTGGTCTTCTCTGTGGAAGTGGGGTCTGGTTGCCTTCCCTCATCCCAGCACTTGGGTCTTCATTTGTGTTTGGAACAGAAGCACTGTGGCACTTGTGTTTCTGTCCAGCCGTGAGAAACACTTCTGTGCTTCTCCTTCTCAGAAATCACTTCTGTTCTGCTTTGTGGAGGCTTCCAGAAATGACTTCTGTGTAGCAAGTACCTGAGGTTGTGTACACCAGCTCTTTCTGTCTTCTGAGGCTTCATGTAGGCCTGCAGGCCACACTGCTTGATGACCATGTGGCCACGTCACTGAGGACAGTGTTTCTTTATTAAAACCAGGCCATGGGTGGCCTTCAAGTACGTGAGAACGGCCTGTTGGCAATCAGGAGATTTCTTCTGCTTCACAGAGGTTACCAGGCCAGGGGTCCTTACGGTTGCTTTTTTCAGAAGTCTTTCCACCCAGTGGGTGGGATGTCTTTCTGATGTTCTTGGTGGCTTGGTTTCCAAATTTACCTTTTTATGTATTACTGGATTTGTTTATGTGGATGGTAGCTGTTAGTCCTCATTTAATGCTTGGGAAGTTTTGGTACCATTAAGTCACACTCTGAAATGTGTGCCATGATGGCCACTGAGGCTGCTCGGGTAGAGACAGAGCATCCTTGCCGTCCCCCCGCCCCCACCCAGGAAGGGGTTCCTTACTGTGAAGAGTGGCAGCCAGTAGTTTAGAGTCCATGATTCTTTCCCTCACACCCTATGTCCTTCTATGAGTGTACTGGCAGCCTGGACTGTGGAATCTAAATGCCAGAGCATCTCTTGGTGCGTGTGGACACGGGCAGAGTAGTCCAGAGAGATGAGGGGTCTCATGAGTGTGCTCTGTGTTCTAGAACTGGGTGACAGTGTCTTGCCTGTGACTGGCAGGCATGTGTGTTTGGGGGGAACTGGCCTGTAGTACAGAAAGACAGGTGTCTGAGGTGGCCATCTTTCTTCCCATTGAGATACATTAGGGCGTGCTGAGCTGCTGTGGTGAGGAGCCCCAGACATCGGCTATTGTGGTTTCTGTAGGTGGGGAGCAGCGTCTCTCCCTCTGCTGCCTCCACAGGGCAAAGGGTGCCGACTGCTGTGGGCTTGCGTGAATGGTCTTGGTCTGGCCCACCCTGGCAGGGCAGTAAGAGAAACGGAAGTGTGAGGTGGTGTGAGGGTGAGGCCTGGGGGGAAGGAAGCAGAGATAGGGTCTTGGTTGGATAAATGGGGAATGCTGAGGGTGTGGTGGTGTGTGGCACGTTGACTGGTAAAAAGATTTACGCGTCTTGTGCTGAGTGTTCCGATGGCTGCCCTGGGGTGTGTGCTTTCTCTGCGGTAGCCGCTCCTGTCATTGCACCTTCCTCAAGTGGAAAGGGCGCCTTTGGGAGCAGTGTGGGTGAATGAGGCTTCTCATCTCATGGGAGCTCTGAGTGCCCACCTGCCACTGTGCCTGTCTGGGCTTTTGCAGCACCGTACTTCTGTTTTGATGATTCAAGTGGAAAAGGGGCTGGTGCATGCTCTCTGCTGTACTGCTCTGTCCCCAACACGGGGAGCAGAGGTGCTGCAGATGAGGACTGCAGCATGCACCCGGTGTTGGAGGGGCCAGAGATGGACCTCCATTCTTGCCCAGCGAAGCGGACAGTGGGATCCCAGGTTACCCTCAGCTGTGAGTCAGGGCGGCTCAACTGTGCGCCTCTTGAGTTCCTAGCTCTTGAAGGTCAAGCTAGGGCCCCACAGCACCTTTGGCCTCATTGGCTCCTCCTTTCCTCTCGCTACGGCACATGTTCACAGGGGTTCTAGAGAGAGAGTGGACAAGCCTGTGGGAACCCAATGCTGCAGCTGGTTGCGTCATGCAATACTCACAGGGTCTCACCTGTGCTGGAGTCTTCCCTTAGCAGGAAGAGCTTCTGGGTTTGACTAATGAGAAGTTTGAATTGATTTTCTCAGAGAGAAAATGACGAAGAGATGAAAGCTGCCAAAGAGAAACTGAAGTACTGGCAGCGGCTCCGGCATGACCTGGAGCGCGCGCGCCTGCTGATTGAGCTGCTGCGCAAGCGGGAGAAGCTCAAGCGAGAGCAGGTGAGCCCTTGTGCTCCAGCTGAGCCCTTGCACCTTCCCCAGGACTGACCCTGGAGTGGCCTGGAGGCATCCAGTCCCTTGTGCTCCACTTGGTCCCATGCAGCACCCTTTGTGGTCCTCTACACTTCTGACCCATCTCCAATGTGTCTTCACCTCATAGTTGGCCCTGCATTGCTGCCTCCCTTGTGCCAGAGTGGGTAACCACCCCTTGGATGGAGGGCATTGTGACCTCTGCCTTGGCCAAAGCACACGTGTTTGTAGCAGCTGAGGCCAGAGGACTGCCTCCTGTGCGGGGTACTGGAGACTGCACACAGTTACTCTGTAGTGGTGGTTGAAGTGTGGCTTCCGCGGTGTGCAGTGTGTGAGGTGCTCACAGTCCTCCAGAGATGGACGGACATTTGTTGTTATTGTTAGGTTAAGGTGGAGCAGATGGCCATGGAGCTGCGACTGACTCCACTGACAGTGCTGCTGCGTTCAGTCCTGGAGCAGCTGCAGGAGAAGGATCCTGCAAAGATCTTCGCCCAGCCTGTGAGTCTGAAGGAGGTGCGTGTCACATTCTTCCTTGTGGGTGACTCGGTTTGCGCTGTTACTTTGGAGAACTAGTTACTTGCAGTCTTAATCCTCATTGTTACCGAATATGTGTATGTGTTTTTAATCATAAAGATATGTTTCATTGTAAAGTACTGGAAGTGCCTGAGTGTGTCTCCCCCAAGACTTCTCAGCTGGTGGCGGCAGTGTCACCTCATTAATGTGCTTTTAGTTAAAGGACCTTTGATCAGGTTGGGTTCAGGTCTCATTGGCTTTGTGCTGCCACCTGCTAGCTGTGTGAAGACAGGTGTGTGAGTGTGAAGTGTGATTCATTATGTAGATAAAACAGAATAAGTCAAGAATCTTTTTTCAGTTTTTAAATGATTGTATTTCCTCCCTAAAATTAGGTGCCAGATTATCTGGATCACATTAAACATCCCATGGACTTTGCCACAATGAGGAAACGGCTAGAGGCTCAAGGGTATAAAAACCTCCATGCGTTTGAGGAGGATTTTAATCTCATTGTAGATAACTGCATGAAGTACAATGCCAAGGACACCGTGTTTTATAGAGCCGCAGTGAGGCTGCGAGATCAGGGAGGTGTTGTTCTGAGGCAGGCCCGGCGTGAGGTGGACAGCATCGGCCTGGAAGAGGCCTCGGGAATGCACCTGCCTGAACGGCCCGTGGCAGCCCCTCGGCGGCCTTTCTCCTGGGAAGACGGTAAGAACTGGGTGCCTCATCCAGGAAGACGGGAAATTGCTCTTCCTAGCAGACTGTGCAGAGCATTATGTTTCCAACATGTGATCAGCACAGACATTATTGAGGACACTTCTGTTCCTTTTCATTCTCTGCCATCCAGCGTGTGTTGTACACTCAGCACACCTCACTGGGGTTCTGCCATGTTTCAGGTGCATACTCGAGAGTCCAGTCTAAGTGCTACAGACTAAGAAGGCAGTGTAGTTGGGGATTTGCACCTGTAAGAGCCTACACCGGCTCTAGAGGATGTCTTGCAACAATGAGAAAGCTGTTGGCATTTGTTTTTTTGTTAAAAGCAGGAACTCTCATCGGCTTTGCCCCTGACCCGCTCACTTGCTAGTGGCTTGCACATGTGGCAGAGAGGACTTGAGGAGTGGCATGTCCCCGGTGCTCCTGGACTCCAATTTGGGCCTGTGCTTCTCTGGCTACCCTGGGCACATGTCGTGCTGTTGCTTGTCAGCTTCTTTAGGCGATGCTTGGAAACCTCCGCCTCTTGGCTTGTCAAACCCATCTTAGTGTTTGTTGAGAACATGGGTTCCCAGATGGCTTGGTGGAGCACCTCACAGCTGGGTTTTCCTGAATTCAAAATTGTTATCAAAACCCAAAGCTCATTTACTCAAAGGTCCTATTCCTGGTTTCTACTCACCATCTCTCCTGATAATCACTGGGCAGTGCTGGGACTGGACTTCTGACTAATTTGGCCTAGCCTGCTCCATCCTCTCCATGTCCAGCTAGTCGCTGTGTCCTGACTCTTTTCCTGTACTCTTTCTTCGAGCATCAGTTCTGGCTTTGCAGGGATGCAGGACCCCCTGACTTCAGGCCTTCTGCAGTCTGACCCGAGGGACCATCTCTTCCAGCACTTGGACACATGCCAGGGCATGTGGAATAAACTGAAATTTTGTTTAAGATAGGTATATGTTTATGTTTTTTTCCCCTGTGATTTCAAGGGTAATAAGTTTTGTAGGAAATTGGGAAATAAACACAAGCAAACCCAGAGCTGACAGGTAGAGCTTGTTAGGTCAGAACCAACCATCCTGTTGTGAAAGATTCCTTAGGGTTCCTGGGTAGAGCTGAGTCTGACAGCCACGGTGTTGATGTGAGCTCAGTCCTTCATACACATCTCTGCTTTGCATCTCTTCTTTGCATGTCTCCTGTGGGGAGTCTGTGATGGCCTGGCCGTCCCTGACATGTGCATCCCTTGATGCCCATTGGCCCCTGGCTGGACTGTGCCCCTTATGATGTTGGATATCCTTAGAGGCAGAGGGCCCATGTGACCTGGGAACCCTCTACCCCACAGGTCCAGCTCCTTGCAGTCTCCAGGTCTTCTCCTCCAGGGCTGCTCACTCTGACCAGAGTATTTCTCTGAGAGGATAGGAGTTGGAGGCCTCTGAGTTGGTGGTACCTTTTATAAAACGACAGTACATTGCTAAATGAATTCCTATACCAAGCTTTCTGCTAAAGAGAAAAGTAAAGATAAGAAGTTCCATTTCATTTCTTTCATTGGTTGGGGTGGGGAGAGCAGGTGAGTTGTGTCATCATAGAGGACACTGAGCTTGCTATGGCACCTTGGTCCTCTGTTTAAACAGAAACAGTCCTCTCAGGGTTAGAGGTGTAGCTCAAGTGGTAGCCTCTGGGTTCAAACCCTAGTACCAACAAAACAAACAAACAAAAACAAAAAACTGGCAGGCATCACAAGGCTGTTTTCATTGGGGCTTCAAATGATGAGACTTTTTGTTTACGTAATGTACTCGAGTCATATTTGTGAGGCTTTGTTTGAAGTGATGATGGGATTACAAGCCCTGGGTCAGCATGCTGTGGGTGGTTTACTCATTTCCTAATGGCTTGCACTGTTGTGCAGATGAGGTACTTTGACTTGGACAACTGGAGGACACTGGACTGGCTGCTGTGACTGGACAGATTTGCTTTATGATATGTCTTCTCCCTCTTGCTCCCACTCCTCTTCTGGCTCCTGATTTTATCTTAAGATAGCTCTGAAGAGTAGTTTTCTTGGTCATTTCTCACTAATTGGTCATTTGTGCTTTGGTGAAATTGAAACTGTAGGAACTTGTATAGTAAGCATACCTGGAATTTAGAAGGATCTGTGAACTCAGTAAAGCACACAGCAGTCTGTGTCTAGGGGAGACTTGACTAGGACAGCAGTTGTGCTGTGTGAACATGCCAAGTAGTCACTTCCATTGTGCCTGCAGGCTGGTTGAGCATGTGACTCTGGTGGGCTTTGCATTTCACTTAGAATGGGTTGTCTGCATAGCAGGGCCGGGTTGGGTCTTGTTGAGGTCACACATGTCAACAGCTTCTGCTGTGGCTATACTGTCCCCCTGTACCTTGGCTGCTGCAGCTGCAGGGGGAAATCTTCAGAAGATCCTGTGTCTCCTTGGGGCAGTAGCATTCCTGTTGGTTCAGAGTGTGGGTGAGGGGCCTGTTCGAATTCTCAAATATCCATGCTGGGGCTTTTACAGGATGGTTGGGACCAGTGCATTATTCTCCCAGATGCCAAGGACCTGATGACTGACGATGTGTGTCTTTGGTTCAGTGGACAGGTTGCTGGACCCGGCCAACAGGGCCCATATGGGCCTGGAGGAGCAGCTGAGAGAGTTGTTGGACAAGCTGGACCTTACCTGCTCTATGAAGTCCAGTGGCTCACGGAGTAAACGGGCAAAGCTGCTCAAAAAAGAGATTGCAGTCCTTCGGAACAAGCTGAGCCAGCAGCACAGCCAATCCCCATCAGCGGGGCCAGGTACTGGAGGCTTCGAAGAAGACGCTACTCCGCTGGGGCCTGACCCGGGGGAAGAAGGTAAGCGTGGTGCGGTGGGAGGGCTGTGCCCATGGGTGTGGGAGTCTTGTAGTTACCACTAATTTTGTAAGTCACAAAGCACTGATTGCTGGATAGTCCCACCAGGTTTTTCTTCCCTTTTTAAAGAACATTACAATTATGTCATCTGGGCTGTATTTTAGCACTTACACGGTTTATGTAAATGTTAAGGCATGCAATGAGATATTTTTTTCTCAACTTGAGCCTGGAAAACTATTTTAAAACAGTGGTTTAGGTCTTACACTGTGTTGAGAGTAAAGGTGGCTTGTATGACAAGAACAAGAAATATTTTTGCTTGGTTTTGTAAATTGAGGGAGCTCCACTTAATTATGCCCTGGATGATCAGACACAGCGTTTTGGAAGGACTTTTCACATGCTGAAGGGTAGGAGAGGCCCCTTACCAGCTCCTCTTCAGCAGCCCTTGCCTTGAGTGACCTTCAGAGGGTGCCCACTGTCTTCATAGCATTGAGAAACATCTGGGGAAAGAGCTGGACAGCAGGAGTGTTGGGATGGGTGGGAGAGAAATGCAGGAGATCAGAGCCATCCAGCGCAGATGCACAGCGAGAGCCATTGCTGGGTTATTGTGTGCATCTAGTTGGGGGAGATGGAGGTGAAAATTGGAAACTGCGTTGAGTGTGGAGAAGGGGAAGCTCAGCCTGCTTCGCTCACCCTGCTCCACTCGCCCTGCTCTGCTGCCTCATCCTTTTCTGCCACAGATAACTGCATTTCAGTTCCATGAAGTGGAATGTAGAGTAGGACCCTCTCCTGTCACCATTGTCAGCATTTTGGCTGACAATCTCCCTGAGTTTCTTTCCTGGTGTAATCAGATAGGAATAGGAAAACATTAAAATAAGACATAGACGTAATTGCTTTTTGATTTGTGTGGCCATCTGTGTCAGGAGTCACAGCCCTGCCTTGCTCTCAACACTGCCCCTGTGTGCGCATGTGCTGTGCTTCTTCATCCAGTCCCCACAGATGGATGACTTCCAGTCCCTCTTTCCTCTTGTGTGATTGTCCCTTTGACTTGCTGTGCTAGGTAACCTGCAGAAAGCAGGGCTAGCACCATTGAGTTCTCCTAGCCTTACAAAGTTACGTTCAGTGTGTCCAGCTGTGAGTGCCCCCCACTATTGTGTCTTATGGGTGATAGAAGGTGTGGTTGGTCCACACAGTAAAAGCTGTGGGGCGAATTTACTCTAAAAGCCTTTGTCACCAGGGGAGAGACACCACTCTGCCTCTGTGGGGTCCTGTGCTTTTCTTTGAGGAGCATTCGTTCGTGGAACTTATGATTTGACAGCCAGACCCACCCAGGATCCCCACTGCTCCCTTTTGTTCTTGGTGGGTCCCACATGGCATCATCACCTGCTTCCCATGTTAGCCCTTTGCTAGGTTTATGTACTATTTGTCCTGAAAAGAGGGCATTTGGAGGAGGGTGGTCAGCAGGTTGGCTTACAACCTGCCTGCCCTTGAAATCATCCTCCTTCCAGAGAGACCTGACCTTTCCCAGGCACAGCTGGGTGCTGCCTTCTCGGTTCTTTTCCCAGAGTTCCCTTCACCAGCACCGCTTCACAGGGCTGAGGACCCTGCTGTCTGCTATGAGTGTGGCTCCTTAACCCCTCCCAGCCTTGAGCAAGAGCCAGCTGGTGCCCTTGGATGACTTGTTTTGCTTTATTTTGCTGAGGTCAATTTAAAGAAAGTACACATAGTGATGTCTCAGACAGATGCCTGGGCTGGTTAGAAACCCTTAGGCCTATGTCTAAACCTATCAAACCCAGGAAAAGGGTGTTTTCCTTCTAGTGAGGGGAAGGTGACTGGAGAAGGAAACAGCCTGACGACAGTCCATTCTGAGGCCAAGCAATGGGGTAGAGGGTGGTGTCCCCTTGAAGAGATGGAAACTCTCTAATAGAGTCAGACTTGGAGCAGGGCAGCACATAAATGTTTTGAAGACAGCAGGAAGCAAACCTGTGAACTCAAGTAGAAATGCAGACTTGCCATACTTGTCAATAAGCAGAAACCCAGATCAGAAACTGGGAAACATTTGAGCATGTTCTTCTAAAAGATACATTGTTTTCTTAAATGTAGTCCTCAATTTCCATATATAAAAAGACTTAATACAGTCACACTTCAGACGAGATCGGGCGCGTAGACACAGTCACACTTCAGTTATAATTGAACAGTATCTTCATGGTTTATGTTAATTTGAAAACGCTTTAGGAGACTCACATCTGGGTGCTAGGCCCAAGGTGCCAGTATCTATAGGCAGAAGCTTCTGGCTGGGACAGGGGCTTGCCTGCTGTGACTGTCTGCTGGCTCTAGGGAAAGGCTGTTTGTCAGGCAATCATCCACATTGCCTTTATGGTTGTGGAGTTCTGGCTGGGTAAAGGCCAGAGGATAAGTAGAATTTGGTCAGTATCAGCCTTGTGGGACCAACTGGAACTCTTAAGTAGTTGTCTTACCTCACACCCAGCTGGGCTGTAGTCAACTGATGGGCAGAAGAGTGAAGGCTGGGGCTTTGGGAAGAGCAGAGTCCACACTGCTTACTAGCAAATGTGGCTGGCCCCTTATCCATGGGTGAGTCATGAAGAGGTGTGCCTTTCCCCGGCCAAAGGCCCCAGACTCAGCAGTCGTGGGGAACCACTCTGTGCACAGGAGCTGGGAGCTCTTTATGAATACACTTTATGAAGGATTTGTAATTGAGCACACAGTGCACACTGTGCAGGCTCTTCTCCCCTTCAGGTGGCAGGAATGGAGCAGGAGGCAGGCAGGGTGAGGACAGTGTAGTTGCCAGCTGTGGTTGGACTGTCCCCTGCATGCTGTGCTGTGGTTTCCTGAGCTGCTTGTGGCTTTGGTGGCAGCAGCTGATGGGCTTGGTGACCAGGTGTGTGAAGTATTAAAGATACAACGAATTTTCAGGGAGTAGCTGCTGCCAGTAGACATCCTCTATGTGAGGCACCATGAAAACCATTAGGGCTTTTGCTGCTGTAGGGAATATGGCGAATCCTGGCCAGGGAGACCTTGGGAACTTTCATAGTCACACCCAAGACTCACATAAGAGTTGTATGGAGTTTATTCTAGAATTTAATTGGGCCTGTTTTACATGTAGCCAAATAACATAATTGTTAGCAGCCAGTGAGCTTTTAAAAAGAATTCTCATACTTTTGTATTAACTTCCAGTAAGATTCCCACTCGAGAAGCCTGATGGGGACATTAGCTATTTGGGGCAGCACTGTACAGTGGGCCCTCGTGAGGGTTCAGTCCTGCATGGTTGCCTGACAGGCTTAGGTGCCACTGTTTCTCATTTTCTGATGAGAAGACAGACTCACAGAAGTCGTGGCCTGTGGTCCTGTGGCTGGTGGAGGTAGCTTTGCATCTGGGCCCCTGCCTCCTTTCTCTGGTACCCTCCATTGTCCCTCTGGTAAACTGATGTCCAGTGAGCCGCAGGGTGGCAGCTGGGAACCTGGGCTCCCACACGGGACTGAGCATAGAAGCGGTTCATGGGTGAGCATGTATGGCCACGTGGTACTGTAGGTGTGGCAGATCTTGGACGGATCAGCAGGTGTAGATTGTGGTGGAAGGCCTGTGAGCAGGGCCAGGGGCGTGGTCACCTGCTGCCCAGGCAGGAGTAGATGTCTCTGAGTTGAGCTGGAGGTGGGAGATGGGGTTACAGGCCTTTTAGATGTGTGGAGTGGGTGGGCAGAAGGCCTAGAACTCTAGGCAAGAGGCCTCATGGCGTCATCGCCCTTGGCCCCATGTTGCCTAGGCCGACTACTGGCTTTGATCCTGAAGAGGCCATGGGGATTGCAGAGAGCACTTTGGGTGTCACAGTCAGAATGAGAGCCTGATGAGAGGGCATTCAGAGTGTGTATGTGTGTGTGAGGGGCGACCAGGGGAAGAAGAAGTGGTAGGAGGTAAACTGAGGAGTGCTGCAGAAGTGACCTGGTGGTAGTCACCTGGCTCAGCCTTGGGCTTCTAGCACCAACCTGGGACACCAGCCAGCCCCAGAGACTTCTGTCTTTGTGCTCATGTGCACCAGGGACGCAGTGTGCAGTGATCACAGAAAGCTCTCAGCAGCAACTCGGCATGCTCCCTAATCCCATCTGCTCAGTGCTCCTGTGGGCTTCCCAGTGCTGGGTTCCTAAACTGTTAGTGACCTTGAGTGTGGTAATGGTGCAGGAGTTAGCATTTCTACTTCCTGGAGAGGATAATCTCCCTAAGGCATGAGTGTCATGCATTAGATAAGCTTGTATCTCCTGGATAGAGCTTTTTAAATAAAAGTCCTTTTAAACAATGGGCCCTTTGTTGGTTGCTCCTTCCTTGGTGTTGTCTTGTAACAGGCTCCAACAGAGCACACTATTTAGCTCAAAGCCGCCTCCAGTATTGTTCAGACAGTAGCAGTGTCTGGTTTGGTGCTGGCTCCCAACCTTGCTTTGAGGTGGTCAGGAGAGCTACTTTGGTACCACGCTCAAAACCTTTGCCTTGAGTTAACCGAATGGCCCAGAGACATAAGTGAGCTTATAAGTTGTGTAGCTATTCATGCATATTTCATATGTTCTGTGGGAAGTGTTTGCAAGCTCAATAAAATAAGAACTACACCTACTGCAGGTGTGCACTACTTTGGACCAGGTGCATTGGCTCACACCTGTAACCTCAGCCACTTGGAGGTGGACATCAGGAGGATCACAGTTTAAGGCCAGTCCTGACAAAAACTGAGTGTGGCTCGTGCCTGTGGTCTCAGATTGTGGTCTGTGGTTGACCCAAAAACTAAAAGACCCTACCTGAAAAATAAGGAAAGCAAAAAAGGGCTGGGGGCATGACTCAGGCGGCACAGTGCCTCTGCTTAGTAAATACAAGGCCGAGGTCAAGCCCTACTACCATTAAAAAGAAAAAATATATGGCACTCTGCATTCAGATTGCTGCCCTTGCTTTCTTATCACACTTCCTATGGCCAGAACCAGTCTTGCTTGGAAAGAGCCCTCAGCATTTTATCTAGGGTTGAAGACCTTCTCGCTCCTGGCCTTTTGGCCCCGGCTGTCCCTTAATGCACAAAGCCAGGCAGATATACCTCCCAGGGTCGGACCTAAGACCTCGATTCATATTGGTAACCTTTAAACACCTTTTTAAAGAGGCAGAGACAGGCTTTTTCCAGAAATTGGTTAAGTTGAATATGTAAAAAAGTTCTCAATGAAAGCATTTGGGAGTCCTGCATGCATGGACACAGACGTGTGTCCTGAGGTGAGTGGGAGGCGTCCTGCCTTCCTCAGCCTCATGGCCACTCGGCACTCCCGTGTCAGATGATCGAACATTTGTTTCCTCTGTTCACTGCCTGAGGTGCAGCTTAGAGCCCTTGGGAGCCCTTACGGCCCCCTTAGTTCTGTGACTATCTTGTCTTCCTCAAGGTAAGTGAATGCTGATGGCAGAAATTGTCATGAACTCAAATAACGTATTTAATATCGGTGGGTGTGAAGTACTCTTTCACAGTTTTTTTCCAGAAAGTAACTTTGTGCACCTGGGCCTAGGGCACCAGGTCTCAGCCTTCGGTTAGGGAACCACACACAGGGTGCCCGACGGTCCCTTGGGGCCGCCCACTGCTCAGCAGTTGTGTGTGATGCTTGTTTCCGTAATTGAATTAGTATTTGGTGGACTTCACAATTATAGTAAGTTTTATAATAGATTTTATAATCTTCAGTTTTCAAAAATCACTTTATTTATAATTTTTTCAGGAGATAAATCTCCCCCTAAACTTGAACCATCAGATGCATTACCTCTTCCTTCAAACTCGGAGACTAATTCAGAACCACCAACCCTCAAACCAGTAGAACTCAACCCCGAGCAGAGTAAACTATTCAAAAGAGTCACATTTGATAATGAATCACATAGCACTTGCACTCAGAGCGCACTGGTAAGCGGACACCCTCCAGAGCCCACCCTCGCCAGTAGTGGCGATGTGCCTGCGGCGGCGGCCTCCGCAGTGGCGGAGCCATCAAGCGATGTAAACAGACGCACTTCTGTCCTCTTCTGCAAATCGAAAAGTGTAAGCCCCCCAAAGTCTGCCAAGAACACTGAAACCCAGCCAACTTCTCCTCAGCTAGGGACCAAAACCTTTTTGTCTGTAGTCCTTCCGAGGTTGGAGACTCTACTGCAGCCAAGGAAAAGGTCGCGGAGCACATGTGGAGACTCCGAGGTGGAGGAGGAGTCCCCGGGAAAGCGCCTGGACACAGGTAAATGACGGTGGCTGCGTGGAGTGTAAAACTGCTCCATTTCCAGTGAAGAAGACCCACACTGCGTTGGTGTCCTTGAGGGAGAGGCCGCAGGCTGGTCTGGCTCCTCTTTGCTCCTTCTCCCCCTTCCCTCTGGAGTTTCAAATATCAAGAGCAACTTAAGGTGTGGTTTGGTCAGGCATCTTGAATATGGCGTGTGTGTCTAGGTGAAACATGACCTGTGAGTGGTCGCACAGGCCATTTCCCAGCCCGCAGGAGGGGCTCCAGAAGTCCGCACTCTGAGCCTGGGCCTTCCCTTCCAAAACATAGCTTGTCCCCTGAGCCGTCTGAGAGCTGTCCTCTCCTGGCTGCAGCACTGTGCACAGTCGGTTACATTTTGATGTTTTACGTAGCTTGTTGTGCCTATCCATTGCGTTATCATGACCTGCTGACATAACACTTGAAGCATCTCATTGCCTACGCTTTTACACCTTACACTGTGCACTTTACCAAGATGTGACCCTGCACACCTCCCTCCCACATGCCCATGAACTTGCACTGTGCGGTGGTTGAAGGAAGCCACCTCGCTCTGTTGGAGCCTCTGTTCCTCAGATGAGAGACAAGGAACTTTCTGTGTTCTGTAACAACTGTGTGTTGTAGGTCCATTCCATCTGTACCGGCCATGCCTCTAAGAGGTGCCGGGCTCGCTCCAACGTCTCCTTTCTGGAATCGTGTTGGTAGCGGGTTTGTCCTGGTTTTGGTCCTGGCTCAAAGCTGGGATCCTGTTTGTTCTCTGTCCGTCTGTTACAGCTCGATAAAGAAGAAGTGCATTTCCTCTGGCCGCCCTGACGTTGGGCGTTTTCTCTTGCGATTTAGAAGTGAGAACAGTGACTGGCTAGGTGCCGTGCCGCTTTGATCCCCAGTGTGATGCCTGAATCTCGGGTCCTCTAGCCATGACAGGCTGGTGAGCTCGTCCTCCCCTCCTCCATCTGTCCAGTCTCCTGACTGAAGCATCACACAGAGGTCTTCACGCACAAGTGCATTACCTGCCTTGGCCACTAAACGCATCATGCTTTTGTTGCCAAAATTTGTTAGTTTTTTTTTTTTTTTCTTTCTTTTTGAACCCAGAGCCTTGTGATAAACTATCTCATTTTTATTTTGCACATACAGTTTTGTGGACACTTTTGTGTCTTTTTAAATTTAATTTTATTCTTTGGTGGCACTAGGGTCTCGTTCTTGATAGGCAGATGCTGTACCACTTGAGCGGCGCCCCCTATCGGCCCCCCAGCCCTCATTGGGTTTTTTGTTTGTTTGTTTGTTTGTTTGCTTCAGTTATTTTTTGAATAGGGTTTTGGGTTTCTTGCCCAGGCTGGTGTCAGACCACGATCTTCCTGTTTACGCTTCCTTGTAGCTGGTGGCAGGTGTGCACCACATCCAGTTTTGTTAGTGAGATGGACTCTCACGAACTTTTTGTCCTGATGGCTGCCTCTCGGGTGGCTGGATTACAGTTGTGAGCGCTGCACCTGGCCTGTGTCATCTTATTGGACGAATTGATAATAGCATTTTAAAGTTTGATAAAACCTCTTTTTTCTGTGAAGCGATTGAAATGGTCCACAGAAAGTTGGCGAAGATTAGAGACTGAGCTGTCGCCTTTCTTAGAGAAGGGCTTTCTCATTTAGAGAAAGACTCTTCAACCTTGTATTTTGAGTTCACGTGAAAGTCCACTGAGATGAAGAGCGGGTCACAGCTCAGTGTGTGTGTCAGGGCCAGGTGACACGTGCTCCCCTCCTGCACTCACAGTACGCAGCTCAGGCTGGCTTTCTGCTGCCTTAGGGGTTCATGTCTGTCAGCAGCTTGGCACTGCAGGTAAAGGACCCACCAGACAGCTGGTGTCCAAGGCGGCAGCCTCTCTTCTGCCAGCACGGAGCAGTTGTAGGGACTTGGAACTCCATGTGGAGAGTGACACGTCCCTCGTCCGCTCTCACTTTCACGTGTGAGTGGAGGGCTTTTCGGGCTTCGGTGGTGACGGTGAGTCTTAAGCAGACCTTCAGTACGCATGACCACAGAGTGCGCTGATCCTGACTGAAACGAGGGTTTCTGCTTTCTTATTCCAGAGTGGCAGTAGATTTCAGTGGAAGCATGGTGAACTCCTAAGCATACTCCAGAGCAGCCGGGGAGCCTTAGTAGCACTAAGATGTGACCCTCAGGAGCACAAGGTGTCCGCTGCGTCTGCTTGGCCCAGGGCGGCTAGGCGCAGGCTGAATGAGCCCCACCATCCTCGCTGCTGCACCTCCAACCTGAACGCTCTGGTGCTCTCTGCGCACCTGGATTTCTTGCTCCAAGTTGCAGTTCTTCGCAGTCTGAGGACTGAAGTGTTGAGAACCTTCTCATGTTTTCCACATTCATCTGTGTACTGTGAACTTTTAGGGGAGCTCTCTGGTATTCTCCAGTGCACTGCAGGATTCCAAGTTAGATTCAGTGCAGACTTGCTCATTCCGACAGCGCTCGCCTTCAGTCCTCCTTGCTTGCACCTGCGGGCTGGGCATGCAGCGTGTTAGGCATCGTGGAGGCTCAGAGCGTGTAACTGCTCTTGTGGGCATCCCACCTTTGGAGCTGGCCCTGTCTTGTAGCTTCCTTCCTCTGTGACTGCTCATTTGTTTCCAACAATGGACTATCAGGCCAGGACCTGTGCTGCTTGCCTCTTACTCGTACTTTTGATGGAGATTCTCCTGCACATGGGGGTGGGGCTGGGCATGTGAGCAGCGTGTCTTCCATGGCCCTGGACTGTTCAGGAGGAGGCTTATCTCTTCCTGCTCTTTCAGTCAGACTAAATGGCTTTTTCGCTGTTTTCCAGGTTCTCACTTAACTACTAACATGCTGGGTAGCTCACTCTTTGGATCCTAATCCTTTTCTCTTACCTCGACTTGGACTGGAGTTCTGCTAACAACCCTTTGGAACTCAGAGCGGTTGCCGTCTCCTTGCCTTGCACGTAGTTCTTGTGGATCACGTTGGAACCATCTGTTGAGCCGTCCTCTTTTAAAAAGACACACAAACACCTGCCCTTGGAGGAGACCTCTACCTTTGGCCAGCCCACCTCTGCCTTAAGTCAGAATCCAGTAGTGGGAGCAGTGCTGGCGCCCGAGCAGGTGCCCGAGCAGGTGCCCAGCACCCTCCTCGAGCTGGTGGGACATGTCAGCGCTTTGGGCCTCTCCATGGATAGTTATGAAGGAGGCAAGGAGAGCCTCGTGCCTGGGCAGAGAACCTGCCGGGCACAGACGACATAATGCGCAGTCTGAGCTCCATCCTAAGCATATGCAGAACTGTCCTGAGGTGACCAGGGATTCTGTTTGGGGCAGCCCGACCTGGCCATCCAAGGGACTTTGCGCATGGCGCTGTCAAAGATGAGGCCTAATCAGTGTCTCCTTGCTCAGTTGTTAACGTCTGTTATTTCTCAGTTCTCTACATGTTTTCCCTTCTCCCTTCTCTTTTCCCTTCCCTTCCTCTGTATAACGCAACAGTGCCAACATCTGTCTCACTGGTGGCCGTGCTGAGATCCTGCTGGGTCAGCTGACAAGCTTGCCTGCAGAGAGCTGTGGCAGGGGCCATGGCCTGGCCTCTGCTCATCCTAGCCTTGGCTGCCCCAGTTGGCCTTCATGGCGCTTCTCTCAAAGAAGCACGCAGTGGCTGGGGTCTTCTTGGTTGCTGTGCTTTTTGAAAGGTGCAACAAAAGCACCGTTCTTTTGGCAATAGCAAAAGTAAAAAACATGTCAGTAGAAGATAACACTGCCCTGAGATGCTCTCATCCCACTGTTCTGCAGCAGGGCAGGGGCTCACAGATGTTGGTGAGTGTGAATGGGTGGGGACTGGGGCAATGGGCTCATGCCCTGTTGTCATATTTCACATGAGCCAGGCACAGTGGGAGCTGGGGAGCACTAATGATCCTCCATGGTGTGGGTATGTGGGCTGAACCTGGCCCGTCTAGCTTACTGGACCCTGTTGTTCTTGCCATCTGCAGCACAGGGTTTTCTTGACATCCATGTGGGTTGGAAGGTGAGGCCCCAGGGGACTGGGCCTCAGCTATCCTACTTGCACACCCTGGTCTCTTTGGTGGACTGCCTGGAACTTCTCTGTGCCCTGTGGGTGTGAGCTGTTCAGAGAGTGGTGTCCTTATTGTCTCAGGGGGCCCTGTGTGGCCACCCCCTGCAGTCCCAGGTGTGCCATGGAAAGCCCTGGGTAAGAGGGGTTTTCAGCAGTGCTGTTTTTGGTTGAGTGTTAAGGGCCAAGCCAGCGCTGGGCATGGCTGCAGTAGCACCTCTGCATGGTCTCCTCTGGAGCCAGAGCAAGATGTTTGGGTTTCTGCTTGGTCTTCATAAACTCTCGGATGTGCATTCCAGGCTCAGGAGCCATTTCTTCTTTTCCTTAGTTTTTCATCATGCATTTGACTTTTTCAGTTACTCAGAGCTTCTCCTCCTGTGTACACCATTTAGAGGCTCAGGTGTGTGAGTTCCTGCTGTTTCCAAGTGCCCTAGGGGGTCACAAGCCCATCCTTGTGTGACCCTAATGTCTTGGGCTCCTGGCAGAGGTGGTCCTGGGATTCCAGAACTGGGACTTCCAGACCTAGTGTGTTTTCAGGTCTTTGCAGGATTGACAAGAGCAGAGGTGTCGAGTTGGTGGAGTGGCTCAGATGGTAGAGCACCTGCCTAGTAAGCATGAGGCCCCAAGTTCAAACCCCAGTACCACCAAAAAAACCGAAGAGCAGAGGTATCTGTGAGCTCAGCCATCTTCAGTGCTGGCAGAATGCTTTGCCTTCCTGTCCTATGGATGGAATGTTCTGCACAGGAAGTGAGTCCACAGACGGCAGTGGAGGTGGAAACAGGGAGAGCTTGTGTTTGGCTGCTGTGTCACAGCTCTGTGGCTTCCAGGCACCTGCCAAAGTACCTTTCCAAGCCTGGGCCCAGGATCCTTGGATTGCATTGCCTCTTGGGACCTATCCCAAGAGCCTGGACGCTCTCTAGGTTCTGGTCTGGCCACGCAAGCAACCCAGCCCTGTTTGAGCTGCAGCAGCAAGAGGGCTTCTCTGCCCAGCTTGCCTCTGGGATTTTCCCAGTAGTGGTGCCATCCTCTTCCCAGGCACTCAGTGTGTTCTCATGAGGTGTGGAAACTTCATGTAAATGGCTCGTTAGCCCAGATGCAATGTGCCCTGTAATGAAACTCAGGAAAACTAGAGGGAGCCATTCAGTTGTTCTCTTCTCAGAATCATGGACCTTCCCCTAGATTTTTCATCTTTTCCTTCGGTCAGTGATATGAGGATGGAGCCATCTTTGCTGGGGGCACTGGTGTGTGTGTGAGGGCTGCATTGCTGGGTCCCTCCTGGGCTTCCTGCTTGGGCTGGCCCTTTCCAGGCTGGCCTTCCTCTTCCCCAGGTGACTGGCACCTGCTGTGTGGGTCCTTCCTTGTTGGAGGTCCTTCCAGGTGCCCTGATGGACCTAGCACATGTGAGGAGACCAGCTGGTAAACTTGTAGAGAAGTTGCCTCACCCGGCCTGGGCTGTCTCTGGGTTCCTGCAGTCTTGGGGTGGCACACCACCACAGTGTGGGGAAGGGTAAGTGTCCTTCAGGGCCACATTAGGATTCTTTACATCAGTGCTTTGGGTCTTTTCTCAAGCCTTTGGAGTGGCCAAGTGTCCCGTCCCCCATGCCCTAAGTGAGTGGCCTTCATCACTGGACCGTGCATATGGACCTGGTCTGGCCTGGCCTTAGGGATGTCCTGGGCTGCGTCTTGGGGCAGAAGTGCCTGTGATGGTGACCTGCTCTTCAAGACCTTCAGACTCGTCAGCAGACCTGCCTCCTGGGGCCTACCCAGCTCAGCAGTGGCAGATAGCTCTGGTGGACGTGCAGTCCCTTCTCAGACTCCAGGTCTTGGGGCAAGGGCTCTGTTTATCCATCTGTTGGTCCACCCAAGTTGGGTGGCCTGTTTGCTGCTGACCCAGGTCAGAGTGGGGGCAGGAGTCACAGCTCCTGAGGAGGCATCACATCCTACAACTGTTGGGGCTTAAGGGAACAATCCAGTCCCTTCCCCTATCCTGTGTCTTCTGCTTCACCAATAAGCCAACGTTGGAGGGTGACAAGAAGCTGCTGCCTCTCAGAGCCTCCTGTCAGCAGAAGTGGGTCCTTTTCACTGAGGGAGTATGGAAACCCTGGATCTGGCCTTGACCCTGAGTATTTCTAAGAAAATACTGCAAGCTTACACATTTTACTTTGAAAATAGATTTTTAATTAACTTCTTAATGATGAGGTATGTGGGAAGAAGGGACTGGTTCCTTTTTTGGAAAAGAAAAGGTCACCTTCCCTTCCCCCCTACCCCCATCCCCTCCAGTCACACTAGAGGGAAGCAGGCCACCTGTGTATTCTGGGACATCACCCTTCTGATTAAGGGGAGGCCTCTGCAAGGGCCTTGGACAAATGTGTGATTCCCACTTACTGACACAAAGGTGGGCTTCTTGAGGAGGGAAATAGGTTGACTCAGATTTGCCTTGATGATGGTGCTTTTCAAATTCCGCCATGCTGTGATACTGCAGTTGTTCAGCCATTGAGAATGTTTGATCACCAGCAAGGCCCCCATCAGCACTGTCCCCCCACGTACTTTGGTGTGGATAGTTTGAAGTGTTTATTAGTGTGTTCAGGTTCTTATTAAAACCTAAACCTATTTTGAAAGAATGTTTGTTTTGCTGGGACTCAAACTCAGGGCCTTGCATGCTAGGCAAGCAGTCTACCACTCAGCTGCATCCCCAGCTTTTTGTTTTGTTTTGGTTTTTTTTGTTTCCAACCTTAATTTGCTATTCCCAGAAGCTCCACAGATAAGAACATTTTTGTTGTTGGTGGCCTCCACCACCCTGGGGCTCTGAAGGAGCTGTCCAGATGCGGCTCATTCCCCATCGGGTAGACAGGCTGGCCTGCTGTTACCTCAAAAGTTTGTGCGATCTGTGTATCTGGGAAGGGGTAACAGGTGCCCTTTGCTTTCCCGTCATGGAACTCTGGGGAAATCTTTGGTAAGAGTGCTTCTTCATCCCAGTGCTCACAGAACTGCTTCAGCTTTGGTTTATATGACTTATTTCATCAGCGATTGCTTCTGCATCTACTGAGGGCACGCTGGTGAAAAGTAAGATACTGTTTTGCATGTGAAATTTGGAAAATACATTCCAAAATACGTTCTGCCACATGCTGTGTAAAGCATAGGAATGAGTTGGGTTTGAGCAACAGCACTGGAAGAGCTGACCAGGTGCCTGTCTGCCTGTGTTCCAGGTCTCACCAATGGCTTTGGGGGTACAAGGAATGAGCAGGAGCCGGGCAGTGCCCCGGGAAGGAAAGCTGCACCCCGGCGACGCTGTGCATCTGAATCCAGCATCTCCTCCAGCAACAGCCCACTCTGTGACTCAAGGTGAGCATCGGCCTTGTCTCTGCCATGCAGTTCCTGGGTGTCCCTCTGCCTCCTGCCCCTAGCCTAGGCTCTCTGAAGCCAAAGGAGCTCAGCTCCCATCTCATGGCCCCGTGAGAACGGCTGGGCGAGGGCTCATTTGTGTGCTGTGCACTTCACAGGCAGCTCCCCACGTGATACGTTAATCTGCTTTGTAAATCTAACTGGAGGTACGAAGCAAAACAAAGATCAACCCAGGATTCGAACCTGTAGTTAACATTGTTCTCCCCAAATCCCTGCCTGTGTGCTCTGTGGGGCCACTTCCACAGCTGGGACAGGGAGGCCCCTGAGCATCCTCACTGGGACAGACTCACTTCTTCCACCTCCACTTGCAGGTCTGCCTCAGGGTGGTCAGCACCACCTGCAAGCCTAACCTGGTGAACGGCAGCCATGTGACACAGCCTGGCTTACGGTGAAGCCATGGCCAGGGGCATCTGTGTCCTCTGGAGCTTCAGTTCCTGACTGGACTGTGTTTTTCCTCCTGAAGTTTTAGTGCACCCAAGTGTGGGCGAGGCAAGCCTGCTCTCGTGCGGAGGCACACGCTCGAGGACCGCAGCGAGCTGATATCCTGTATTGAAAATGGCAACTATGCCAAGGCGGCCAGGATTGCAGCTGGTGAGTTGTGCATACACCTTCTGGAGGGCGTTTTGGAATGCAGACATGGCGGATGGGGCTTCCACAACAGACTGGGCCCTGGTAGCATAGGGCCGTGAGCCAGGCCCACTGCATCTGGTGAAAGGCTGTGATCTTGGGCCTATCCCTGGCAGGGACTGCATCCTGCAGGTGGAGTCCATGGGGAGAGGAACGATGGGCTCTCGGTGCTGACTGGTGATCACTGCCCAGGCTAGGTTCTGTTTAGGATGTCTTCCATTTGCAGGTGAATATGTTAACAGCAGAGTTGTTCCAGCCTCAGGCCATGGGGGACCTGCCGGGCTGGCACTGTCCTATCAGAGAGGCCAGCCGCAGGGACAGATATGCCCTCTATTGCCTGGGGCTTGGGGTTTGGTGGGCACAGCTCTCACTGTAAGGCGTCTGTGCTGTGCAGGGTGTCAGAGCAGAGACCTGAAGGAAAGGGTCCAGGGACAGAAGGGAGCTGTATGGGGAGCAGAGCAGGAGGCCAGGTCACCTGGGCTACAGTGAGCTGTGTTGGGAGCCCAGAAAGTTCAGAGTCCAGAGTGCTGGTTTGCTGCTGTGAGGAGGGGCTGGGAGCCAGTTGGACCACCCCTTGTCACCAGCAGCCAGTCTGGACTTAGCGGTGATAGGAGAGTTCCAGGCTGCCAGGATGTGCCAGGGAGGCTGGGAAGAGCAGGTGGTGAATGTTTGGGGTGAGCCAGAACTTTGGTTTGAATTTGGCATTTTGGTTGCATAAGATGTATCTTGAATACACCAGCAGGCGGAGGGGTGGTCCTTGGGTGAGGGGCTTAGGAGTAGTGAGGGGTTGGGGACCTGGCATCAAAGACCTTGGAGCTGGAGAGGGCATGAGGTTCTCTAGGTCAGTAGGAGGATAGTGGGCTGTGGGCAGGCTGCAAGAGGAGCTGGAGGCGTCCATGGGCCCCTGGTCCCATAGGAAGGGCAGTGGAGGTGGTCATCTGGCTCCCCCAGGCTGGGTTGATACTCATTGTGACTCCCTGCTGGAGAGGCTGTGAGCTGGGCATTTCCAGGGGACCAGCAGCTCTGAGTGCTGTGTTGGGCTAGGAAGAGCACTGCTGCTCCCTTGCTGGCCACTCACTGCTGGGTCCCTTCTTTCCCAGAAGTGGGGCAGAGCAGCATGTGGATCTCCACGGACGCCGCCGCCTCTGCTCTGGAGCCCCTGAAAGTGGTGTGGGCCAAGTGCAGTGGTTACCCCTCCTACCCAGCACTGGTGAGTTGGGCACTTGGGGTGGAGTCTGCTCTGTTGGGGTCTGGGACCCCATCACATGTGCTTCAAGGTGTGGTGCTCCCTGTGCTGCCAGAGGTGTATGTGGTTGCGAGGCATGTGTGCACGTGACTGCTGTGGACATACGGGGTGTGATCTGGGTTTGAGTGGTCAGTGATTGGAGCCTGTCTTTCTTGACAGATCATTGATCCCAAGATGCCACGAGTGCCTGGCCATCACAATGGTGTCACCATTCCGGCCCCTCCCCTGGATGTGCTGAAGATTGGGGAGCACATGCAGACAAAGTCTGAGGAGAAGCTGTTCCTCGTCCTGTTCTTTGACAATAAGAGAAGTTGGTGAGTGTGGCGCCTGGCTCTGCAGGTCAGACAAGGATGGGGGGTGCCTTCCCGTGTCCTGGGTTAAGGGTGCTGCACTCTGTGCTGCCTCCCTGTTCTTACACGGTTGATGTCCAGGGTGGGAATTGAGAAGAGCACTGCCCAGTGACCTCAGGGACCGTGGGGCTGTGTGTTGAGTGTTGGCCAGTCTCCTCTTGGCAGCCTTCTCTTGCTCACCTGAGTCCCAGCTGGTCCAAGCCGTTTCCCCTCTTTTCTTACTTGAGTCTACAGCAGTGCGCTGGGGCCCTCGCATGGGCTCTCCAGACCCTGGTGCTCTGCCAGGACACAGGCCCCAGGCTGTCCACATCACCTGGCCTTATCTCCACCCTGCTCTGCTCAGAGGCTCCCAGTGCTTGACCTTTAAGATGCCATGGTTCAGACCCCATGACCTTCTGAGGGTCAGGCATGCTGAATGTTTTGAACCACCAGAAGCTGGTCAGCTGTGTGTGGCCCTTGAGATTTGGCCCTGTCTGTGGCACACCTGGAACGCAGAGTGCTTGCTCACTAGAACCTTGTGGAGCTGCTGCTCGTAGGGAGACTACCAGCAGCCCTCTGCCTTCTGTTCTCCCCAGCAGACCCCGAAGGAGGCCCTCTTGCCCACCCCTTTTGTAGTATCTCCCCGTCCTGCCCCCACTGCCACCCTAGAGCTCCCCCAGCCTGTGCTGTGTGCATGGTACATGCGGGTGTTCCATCGCCCGTCCTGCACGGCCACTTGGAGATGGTTTGGAGTTTTTATGCCTTTCTTGAACCCTACAGAGCGACAGAGAGGGCCTGCTCTGCTGCTGTGGGAGGCCCGGCCTGCGTTGCCAGCCTCCTTACTGTGCGCAGGGGCTGACCGTCAGAGGGTCACCTCAGTATGGGACAGCGGTCCTTACTTTTCCCCTTTTCCTTCTAAAGGCAGTGGCTTCCCAAGTCCAAAATGGTTCCCCTCGGTATTGATGAAACCATTGACAAGCTAAAAATGATGGAAGGGAGAAACTCCAGCATCCGGAAGGCTGTGCGGATCGCCTTTGACCGTGCCATGAACCACCTGAGCCGTGTCCATGGGGAGCCTGCCAGTGACCTCAGTGACATTGACTGAGGTGGCTCCCGGCAGAAGAAGGCCTTGCAGGCCATCGCCAGCCCTGAGCCTTGTCCATAGTGTTGATAAGCTGTACATGTTTGTATATTGTTCAAAACTTAACTTATTCTGATTTTGTAGGTGTAGTTCTATAATTCTTTTTCCCCGGGGAGGGGGGAGGTTTCATTTCCAAGTTTTCTATGAAACCATCTGTCTTGGCGCTTTCTGAGTGGGGTGGGTGCGTCCCGAGCAGCGCTGCGTGGGCATCTGTCTCACCGTGGGTGTCTGTCTCACTAGTGGAGCCGCAGCCTCACTACTTTGATCTGTAGCTTTTTTAAAAAGACTTTTGAATGTTTAATAATTTTGTAAATCATGCTCTTTACACAGAGTACCACTTATTTAATAAGACGGGATGTAAATTTACAATGACAAATGTGTATTTTAAGAAAGAAAATGACATTATTTTGAATGGTACTTTGTGCAAAGAGGAGGAGAATAAATGAATGCTGTGTGCATCACTTGCAAATCACCAAAAACACTCCGCCAGCTGACGCCAGGCGGGCCGTTCTCATTGTCCTGTCTGCCCGACTCCTGCAGGCGTGCCTCCCAGCAGATTATTTATTGTAGAAAGTGTACTCATTTGCTTTATAATGAAAAATAAATTTGCAAAGGTATATTGATACGCATTTTTATACAGGCACATAAAAATTCAACTTGGTTTGGGAGCAGAATGTGTTGCGTGGTTATATAAATTGACTCTGGCCTGTGTGTGTTTTGATTTTGTAACTTGTAATCTTTTGTTTACAATGAGGGGCTTTCTGTAAGTTGTTTTAATTTAGAACACTTTGGTAGCAATAGAACTTTGGATACATTTTTGTATGGTACATGTGATGTATATAGAATTAGTACTTTATTTTTATGTTGAAGAGGTAAAGCATTATGTTAGGGGAGAAAAGCAGGGTGGGTTTCCAAATTTGCATTTTTTATATTAAAAATAAAGTGAAGATTTGGACGTTGTGGCCCTTTCATTCCTTCATCAGTAGGAGGCTGGGCAGGCGAGCAGCCTGAAGACTGGGAGGGTGCTGGGGCCGCGTGGGGCAGGTGCACAGGCAGGCGGCACACCTTGGTCTTAACACCTGCCCTGCAATGGCATTATTTATTATTTTGCCTAATTGTATTTTTATTTCAAAGTATAGTTACTTAAAAATTAAAGTGTTCTTTTAAGTCTACATTGTTTGTAATATCTCCACAGAAACTTGAAAATAAAGTCTTCCTTTGTAGTTTTTGTCCAGTGTTTGGCAGGTGCCTCTTACCTCAGCGGTGCCCCTTCCACCTCCACCAAGGAAGGCCAGTGCGTCTGGGGCAGGCCTGAGGCAGTGCCAGGGCCACTTCTGGGGCTGCTGTGGTCCTGCTCAAGGTGTCGTACTAGTTGCTCACCCTCTGCTTCCCAACCCCAAACCACCTGGGATTGCTGGGCAGAGGATCTGCTCAGAGGCTGTTGAACCTTCTAGCCGCTGTCTGGCGTGAGCTGTTAGCTGAACAATGTCCTCTGCTGGCTGTGTCCTGGGACAACTTGGGGGTGGGGTGGGGGGGAGCTGGGCTGTGACTGGCTGTGCGCTGGTACTGGGAAGGGCACTCGGGCAGCTGGCCTGGGGTTGGAGCCTGTTACTCTGTCAGTGGCCTGTGACCCCTGGCTGCTCCATGGCCATGCCTCAGAACCCCCACCCTGCACCACTCTGCAGTGTGAGGCAACTTATCCCCGTCTGCCCAGTACTGAGTTGGTGTCAGCACTAAAGCCAGTCCCAGGTAGATCTCCACCTGCGATGGGAGAGGGGTCCCTCTAGCCTGGCGCTGTCCAAAGTGGCACCCCTCCTGGACAAGGATCAAGTCTTAGTGCTGACCACCAACCTGCTTCACATTGGCATGGCCTGGGCACCTGGCCCAGCACCCCAAGACCATGGCCGCAGCCTGGAGCAGGGGATGGCCTGGACCAGTGTGTTCCAGCAGTGTTGCGGGAAGGGCTGAGGGTTTCCTGCCACTGGTGTCCCCAGCATGGGTCCTGGAGGGGGAGGGGTCTGGCTTGTTTCTCGAAGTTACAATGTAGAGGAATGTCAAGTTCTCTTAGCCAGTACTTGCCCTCCTGCAAGCCGAGGGCTTCTCCCCTCTTCCATAGCCGTCATTATCTGATCATGTGCTCAGCTGCTTCTTACATTATCAGATACTTCAGAACCAAGGCACAGAACAAGACGGTGCAGGCCCATGTGGACACCCTCCTTGGGTGAGGCTTTGTGGGGTCTGACCATCTGACTCTTTGGGTTGCTCAGGGTGTTTATTCGGTGTTTCCAGGTCTCCTTTCTCTGCCTTGGAGCAGGTGGGAGCCAGTGGTGGGTCCTACACAGCCCAGATGTGGCAGGGTATCATGCGTGAAGGTCTTTGGGCTGCTGAGGTTCTGGAGGCCTCCAGTGTGGTTGGGCTGAAGGGCCATAGTGACGCCAACTGCAGGTGGGTGGCCCAGGCCTGGGCCTCTAGGCTTCATGGTCCTGGTCAAGGCGCTGGTTGGTCTCCATGTGGGAAGTCGGCTTCCCTTGTGGAAGTGCAATGAGCAAGTCAAGCTGCCTGTGACTGTACCCAGACTTCCTCCCGCCTCTGGGCCGTGGCTTTGGAAACTCCAGTGCTGGGCTGGTGCCGCCAGAGCTGTACTCTTGCTCTGGTCGGAGCAGAGGGCACTGAGGCTGGGGACTCCTCCGGGCAAGGAGGGAGTGGAGGTCTTTCCTTCCTTCCCCAGAAATTGGAAACTTAGAACCTGGCAACCCCAGTGCTGGTGCCCACCTTTAAAGCAAGTCTGTCGTGGCTGGATGCCACCTGGACATCAGCAGACTGGGACTGGACACACTGTCCACACACCCCCTCCACCAAACCTCAAGCTTCTGGGGACAGGTTCTGTTGGAGCATCTGCAAGAACAGGTAGCCGGGCCCAGTGTGCCCAGGGCACAGAGTCTCAGACTGAGTGGGTGGTGTGACCTCCTTCCCCAGCCCACCTGGCCGTGCCTCAGCAGCTCACCCTTGGCCGAAGATGACCCTCTCCCTGCACCATTCTCTTGCAAGGCCGGGCCAGTGGGAAGGAATTCGGGGTGTGACTTCCAGGAAATGCCCCCCAAGTGAGTGAGGAGCGGTGCTCTTGCTCTTTCTTTCTGGTGTCTAGAAGGTGGACATTTGGGTGACTGAGCTGGACGAGCCATTTCGGGCCACACTGAGAATGGCAGAGCCGAAAGACAGATGGAGTTTATAACTCTGGTTCCTGTGCAGCGTTTCCCTGTGGGGTTTGTGCATTTGTTTTGCACTAGAAACTGACATTCCTACCCCTTCAAACCCACAATTACTTTTCTTTACAGATGGTGAATCTCAAATGGGTCAAAGAGTGAGGCACTGAGGTCTCTGGTAGCAGAAGGTACAGAAAGGGAACGGCTCCGGTGTTGAGTAGGCTGACCGCGGACAAGACCAGGGCTTAGCTGAGGCCTGCGTGTGCTGGGGAGGGAAGGCCTTGGGGATCCACTGAGGGAGGATGCCGGGGCGGGGTGGCGGGGAGAAAGGGCTCCTCACCTCCGCTTTGGGTCTCTGGGCTTCTAGAAGACAGGAGAGGGCGTGTGAGGATGGTCGAATTTCTCAGAGGCTGTCATTTTCAAAACCTCTCGGGCTTTTGACCTGGTGGATCACATACCTGCTTCCTTCTCTCACCAAGTCAAACGGCCAGAGGTCCCCACGAGGACGCGAGAATGGCAGAGGGCAGGAGAGGGTTAGAGTTAGGCCTGGGCTCCACCTGCGACAGTTCTTTCCTCTCTCACTCCAGGTCCTCGGCACGGGGCTCTGTGCCTGCCAGGCTCGGTTGCTCTCATCCTGTGCTCCCCCTGCTCTGCATCTTGGCGCCCTTTGGTTTGAATTTTTCTGTACCTTTTTCTCCTTTTTTTTCCTTCGTTGAAAAAACAATTTACTTGAAAAGGGAATCATTGAAGTTCCAGAAAGCTGGGCAACTGTGGCTCCTAGCTACTCAGGAGGCAGAGATCAGGAGGATCACGGTTTGAAGCCAGCCTGGGCAAATAATTCATGAGACCCCATCTCAAAAAAAACCCAAAAAACCAAAAACAAAACCAAAAGAAATCGCATGGTTATTTATAGCCGTGGAGGGAGTGGGGACACTCCCAGAAGCCATGAAAGAAAATACTGATAACTTGATCTGTGCAAACACCTGAGCTGTCATCACCGTGGAGCTCTGTGGCTCTCACCTGAGACAGTCCACAGGCCCAGAGCCCCTGGGTTGCCAGGCAGGGGGCCCTGTAGCATCGCTACACATACATGTAGTGTGTCTTCCCAAGCCTTCCCCAAAGGGACCCATGAAATGTGCTAGCATGGTAGCCCCAGGGAAGACTCGAGGGATTATTGGGTATTCCCGCTAACATCTGGGGATCCAAAATGTCTCCGTGGTCTTCCTGCCAAAGTGATGGGCTCTCAGCCCAAATCCATTCCACAGTGGGCAGAGCCGGTCTGCAGGGTCCTAGTTGTCTGCTTTGTCTGAGCTAAGAGGTGGCCAGAGTGGATCTATGTGAATCCATTCTCACAGAAGGAGCAAGTTAGGAAAACGAGTGACAAGATAGCCTGGGGAGGAGGCCTGTGGATGTGACTTGCTTTGTGCGGGCATTTCTGTCCCATGTGCACCAAAGCCCACCTGATCAGGCTGCTCTTCTCATCACCAATAGGCCCAGGAACAAAGTGGCCGTGGTGGCAGGATGAAGCTCCTCTTGGGCTCAGCAACACCAACTTCTGCTCACTGAGGCTGACCTGGCTGTGTCCACTGCTGAAACGCCCAGCCGAGGCTGTGGATGTGAACAGGGCAGCCCCCTTCCCCTTGGCGGCACAGCAGTGGGGGCGCTGGCAGGAGGTGAGGTGGGTTTGCCCTCTCCACCTGGCCTCCACACTCAGAGATGTTAAGACTCCTTGTGGTGATGTGCTGACCCAACTCCACTCGAGTCTGGCTTGTACCTGATGTTCACAGCCTCTTACTTTAAAAATGGATCATTTCAGCCGGGTGCTGGTAACGCGTGCCTGTAATCCTAGCTACTTGGGAATTTGAAATTGGTTGGATTGAGGTTTGAGGCCAGCCTGGGCATGGCTCATGAGACTCCCATCTCCCAAATAACCAGAGTAAAATGAACTGGAGGTGGCTCGAGCAGATAGAGTGCCTGCTTTGCAAGTTCACAGCTCTGTATTCAAACCCCAGTCCCACCAAAACAAAACACCAAAACCAAAACTTCCAGGTGTGGTGTGTCACAACCCTGATTACTGGGGGTTAGGCTTGGTAACACACCGTTTCACCCCTGTATTGTCCCTGTTTGTACGGGAGACTTGCATTTAAGAAAAAACACTTTAGCATTCTGATCCTGGAGGGATCATTTTATTTGGCCTCAAAAAGTGACATACACCAAATATTGAAAATTAAAAATTCACCAGTATCCTTACATTACAGTCCACTCAGATGTAAATGGAGACTTGTCAAGCCTGGGGAGCGGCTTTGAGTGTTTTCTATGGGTTTGAGCGGACAGACCACTGGCTCCTGGACATGGTAGCCTTTTGGAGACCAGTTCTGCCAGCCGTGTGGGAGCTGGCCTGGCCCTTCCCTTCGAAATCTGAGCTTACCCCTTCACTGCTGCAGTGCAAGTCCCAGCACCACCGAGGCGGGAGGAGGGTGTGTAGTCCCTGCCATAGAGGTTGTGGGCCAGCGGCCATGAGTTTTGATTTCCAGGGACAGACAGTGCTCTGCAAACAGAAGGAAGCAGCGCCTCTGTGGCCAGGGCTGCAGACCGGCCATGTGAACCAACCTGAGCGGCTGACTGCTGCAGGTGAGGGCTAAGGGCCATGTTGGGGTGAGTTGCCTGGACTCTGAGTGGCGTGTGCATGCATGTGTGCATGGAGTTCCCTTGAGTGTGCGGTGCACGTGTGTGTATGTGCAGGCTGAGTGCATTATGCACACATGTGGTCTGTGTGGAGGCATGCATGCATGCACAGGTATGTGTAGTATGTAGACCTGAGTCCATGCACTCACATGTGTGCCTGTGAGTATGCAAATGCAGCACATGTTACAGAGGAGTGTGCACACGTGTGTGCCTGCATGTGTACACGTGTGTACAGGTATGTGTGTTATAAATACAACCAGAATAATCCGACGTTGCCCTGTGAGTCCTGTGTGAGTCGATTCAGGGCTCTGCTGGGGCTGTGGGTTGGTGGAACTGGGGCAGGGCTTATGACCCAGGGGTCTCTGCCTCCATGGCCTCTGGTGCCCCAAGGTTATGCCTATGGAGGGTCAGAACTGACTCCACCAACTGGAGACAGTGACCTCTGGCAGGTGCCCACCTCACCAGACATGGCCTGTCGGGTCCAGTGCTGGAGCCTCACAAGGGGCTTCAGGAGGGCTTCCTGGG